CAAGAAAAAAGATTTTCATAAGTACAATACCATTTAAGATTTAAAAAAAACTAATGAACCAGAAATAGAAAGGCTCTTTAACTTAGGTATGGGAATATACCCCAAATCTACAACAAACATAACCCTTAATAGAGAAACTTTAGATGATTCTTTAGGACAAGAATAAGATATAGTACATCACAACTAACATAAGGAAAAAAAATATGTGAGCTCTAAGAGATAAAAGTGTCATTTTGGAAGATAATCATTTCTCCTAAAGTAATCTACAGAATCAACTAACTATTACAACCAATAAAAGAAGCCAAAAGCAAGACTCCCAGATAGAAGACCAAACAATAAAGATCAGAAGTATCCTGGGCCAGCAATAACCAAGTAGAAAAGATAAATTCAATGCATTCAGAATTAAAATTACATTTGACTCTTATAAGGAAAAAGATACAAACAGGCTATTATACGGTAAGCCCCAAATGCTATCAAACACACAAAAAGATGCTACAATTTTATAAGGTAAAAAGATCATAAATAATTAAGTTGACCTTCAAAAAAAACAAAAGTAAAGATTTGCCTTACTACATAAAACAATACACCAAAATACATTTTATAGAAATGTAGTATTGGCACAAGAACACAGACCACTAGAACCTAAGAGAAATTTCAAGGACAAATCCATATACTATATACACGACAATTACATGTACACATACTTATCAAATATACACTTAAATCATATATATGATAAAGGTAGCACCTCAAGTACATGAAAAACCTGAAATGATTTAACATATATTATGGAGAAAACTAGTTCATTAGATGCAGAAAAATAAAACTGGATTACTAATATCCACATTATCACTATATAAATATTACATAAAAGGTAGACCTTTGGTGTAATATTTCCTCAAAGAGCACGTATTACAGTAAAATTATAAAATTAATGAAAAAAACTGTAGAATATCCTCATATCCCTGGTGTCCATTTTAGTTTTTGAACTTCTTTTTTATCTATTTTTATTTTTTTATAAATGTTTATTGATATTTAAAACATAATATTTGTTAAATGAATTACCTCCCACAGGATAATGCTTTCAAGGGAAAGATGGCTTTTTTTTTCTATGAAAACATATACACATAGATCATGAATACATTTATGCATTTGTGGGGTACAATGTGTTGATTTTTTATACAATTTGGAATGCTTGCATCAAACTAATATAGCTTTCACCTTACTTACTTGTGTTAAGACATTTACATTCTATACTTCATAGATCTAACCTGTACCCTTGCAATATGCTCCATAGGTGTGGTCCCCCCTGTTTACCCTCTCTCTATCAATCCTCCTCCTCCCCAACCATCCCTTTCCTCTTCCCTCCTTCATCCTGGGATATAGTTGTGATTTATCTTTCATAAAAAAGTGTGAGTAATTATTAATTGCATTCCTAAAAGTAATGAGTACATTAGATACTTTTTCTTCCATTACTGAGATACTTTACTAAGAAGAATGTTCCAGCTCCATCCATGTAAACATAAAAGAGGTATAGTCTCCATCTTTTTAAAAATATGGAATACTTCATGAATTTGTGTGTCATCCCTGCGCAGGGGCCATGCTAATCTTCTCTGTATCATTCCAATTTTAGTATATGTGCTGCCAAAGCAAGCACTGAACTTTTTTAAACTACTCTATTTTGTAAAGATTAATAATATTTCAGAATTTTTACCCTTTCCTTAAAGATTACCCAAAGAAGAAAAATTAAAAAAAAATTTTTTTAATTTTGGTTGCAGTTGTCATTGTTGTTTGGCAGGCTCGGGCTGGATTCGAACCCGCCAACTCTGGTCTATGTGACTGGTGCCTTAGCCGCTTGAGCTACAGGCACCGAGCCTACATTTGTTTTTTAATAGAATAAAACTCATTCTACCTAGCAATTAATTACCAGAGTCCAGTGGGTCCTTTCATGAATCTAAAATATAGGCTCTTACTGATCCTGTATTTCATATGTTTTAAATATTTTGTCATTATATCATTCTAGGAATTCAATTATTCCCAACTGTGCTAAAAGAAAAATACTAAAGAAGAAAATGTAAAAATGATGGTACATGGTAGGCAGAATAATGGCCCCCACACTCTAATTCTCAGAACCTGAATATGCTACTTTACATGGCAAAAAGGACTTTCCAGAAGTGATTAGTGGCTCGGTGGGTAGGGTGGTGGGTTCAAACCCAACCAAACTGCAACAAAAAAACAGCTGGGCGCTGTGGTAGGCACCTATGGTCCCAGTTATTCGGAGGCTAAGGCAAAAAAATCCCCTAAGCCCAGGAGTTGGAGGTTGCTGTGAGCTGTGTGATGCCACCACCCTCTACCAAGGGCAAAAAAGTGAGACTCTGTCTCTGCAAAAAAAGAAAAACAAAAACAAAAACAGAAGTGATTAAGAGGCTCAACACCTGTGGTTCAAGTGGCTAAGGTGCTAGCCACATACACCTAAGATGGCAGGTTCAAATCCAGCCCAGGCCCACCAAACAACAATGACAGCTGCAATCAAAAAATAGCCAGGCATTGTGGTGGGCACCTGTGGTCCCAGCTACTCGGGAGGCTGAGGCAGGAGACTCGCTTGAGCCCAGGAGTTGGAAGTTGCTGTGAGCTTTGATGCCACAGCACTCTACCCAGGGGGACAGCTTGAGGATCTGTCACAAAAAAAAAAAAAGAAAGAAAGAAAGAAAAGAGAAAAAAGAAGTGATTAAGAGTAGGGACATTGAGGATGGGAGATTATCCCAGATATCCAGGTGAACATAGTCTGATCATAAGAGTACTTAAAAGTAGAGGCTCAAATCTTTCCAGGCTATTCTAAGAATCAGATGTGACTTGAGAAGAAAAGTCCAGGTGTTATTTGTGCCAGGAGATGGGATGCTGCTGGCTTTGCAACCAAGCAAGGAAACAGATCCTCCCCTAGAACCTCCAGAAAGGATTACAGCCCAGCAGACACCTTGATTTTATCCTATGAAACCAGTGTTACACTTCTGACCTTCAAAACATTAAGTAACAAATTTATGTTGTTTTAATACCTAAGTTTGTGGTAATTTGTTAATGTAGCAATGGAAAAATAAAGATTTAGGCCTAAAAAGATGATATAACAGTGAAATAAATCACCATCTTTCAGTTTTCTTCATGCCTTGCATCATCTTTCAAGTATTACCTCATCTTTAAGAATATACAAAAGAGGTAATATTTTTGTAGTCCCGTCTGACTCCACCTGAGATTCAGAAATTTTCATTTTCTACCCATGATGGCCAAGAGAAGACCAAGGAGGACATCTTACAATTATACAAATCAGAAAATAAATACAAAGAGATAGAACAGCACGCTTGGACTCTAAAATGGATGACAGCAATACTGACTAGGTAAGTGAAATCTCAGAGTCATCACGTAACAAAATCCTATTCATTATCAATTAATTGAACAGTATAGAGTTTGGCAGAAGTAACACCCTTTTGTGCTTGAAGTGTAATACTGTTATCTTATAGAACTACATGCTTATAATTTTGTAATAAAAGATAGGTTTAGATTATCAGCTCATTTAAAAAGGTGTTATTTGTGCCATTATTTGTAATCTGCATTATCTGCATGTACTTCTGTAACATAACAATATCACACTTAAAAAGGGTGTTATTTCTGCCAGAATCAGTATTTCTCAGGAAAAAAAGAAAATAGCATTTTCCTTAGTCATTCAACTGAAGGACTTCATTGTGTAATATTCAACAAGAACCCAGACAATCTCATTATGCTCAAATAATGCATCACGGTATACTTTTATCATGTTTGTAAACCAAAATTTACTCGATACCAAGAGTTGTAATATAATTCCTAATAAAATTTCTAATAAAGTTGTTTTCCATTATCTACAAACGAGTAGTAAAATAACTTACAAATATAAAAATATAAAAAGGGTCCCAGATGGTTAATGGTTATGCTTATTTTTTTAGATACCAAGAATTAGTCAAAACTTCAGAGGCATAAGGCAAAAAAAATTAGTGAGTTTGATTAAAACAAATTTAAAGAGTTCAATGAACAATGGACTCATACAACTCCTGCTCAATATGGATACCATAAACAAAGTTAATAAAAATATGACAAAATGGGAGGCGTTATTTGCAATATATGAAATCAGTAAGGAATTCATATGTAAAGTACACTGGGAGCATGGAAAAATTAGTTCAAAAAATAAAGTAATAATAATGGAAAAACAGACAAAAAATTAAAATAATTTATCTAAAAACTCCCCCAAAGCTAATAAGCATATGAAGAAATGCTCAAAATAATTGATGGTACCAGCAAAACAACTAGAATTTTCATACTCATTAGACTATAAAAAATGGGGAATGAGGAAATGTGGATGCTGTCAAGTGTTTTGGGGACATGAGGATACAGAAACACTCATGCACTCTGCCAAATGTGCAGATTAGTACAACTGTTCTGTGTTCTGAATAGCAATTTTGCACTACGTGACAATTCTGTTCTTGTGAATATATACTCAATAAATGCTCACAAAGATCCATAAGAGAACAAGTACAAGAATATTCATTAGAGTATGAGGCAGTGGGGAGTTGAAGACAACCTGTGTGGCTAGATCACCGGAAAGCTTAACAGATATAGTATTAAGTTTAACATAGCAGTTCGAAGCAGTGGATTAGATGTACAGATAGGAATATGGGGAATAAAGACAGGAAGAGTAAGAAATTATATAACAGGAGCTAAGCAGTACAATCTATAAAACTCCTTTTTATCCCTGAAAGCTATTATGCAGTATTACAACCTAACACCCCTGAAAAATGGTATTCTATATTAGAAGTCGGGTTTATAAACACTGATCTTGTTATTCTACACGTTTTAAAAATTATAATGAGTAATAAATTTGTTGTTAAACACGTATGTGAGGATCCTTCACAAAATATATTTTAGACCGCTATACAAAGAAAAATTGTCAAAAAAAAAAAGATTAAAATTTTGCTTACTTTAGCTCCAACACTGCAACTGCCAGTACTCCCAGTGCTCCCACTTGCAACTCCGGTAAATCTAGCTTCCAATAGTTCTTGTCTTCGTGGATCCAGACTATGAAGCTCATCCATTGCACCTATTAAGGAAAAAAATGTATGTGTGTATATATGTGCATATTTACATATGTGTGGTTATATAAAAACTGAGATTAATAATTTATGAATGAATGCCACACAGATGAAATTATGAGAATTAATTTTTATAATATCCACAACAACTTATCATAACATCCTATAATGGATTTCTAACACTTTTGAGTGCAACTCACTGAAAGAAATATATTTTCCATCCATTCAGTACACAGATACATGTGTACATACATATATTTAAAAGTTTCACAGAATACTTAACATTTCTGCACTGCAGTAAAAAAGTATAACATCTATTTTCTAGTCCATTAAAAAAAAGAAAAAAATTGTTTAAAAGCTATTAAATTGATTTCGTAAGCTATTAATGGACCACAGGTTCATCATCTGAAAAATACTATTTCTCATAGTGTAAATTTCCCAAATCTAATTTTATACAGAATGTTTACATTAAGTGACATTACCACTTGTTATATTTATGTATACCTAACCACTACATTTCAAAACTAGGAAGAACTGTTTTAGCACTGTCATATCCCTGGAGATTTTTTTATACAGTTGATAGTTTTAGTTTTAAGTTTCCATTCCGTAGATGGAATATCAATTATAAAACCATGTAATTGTTATTATGTAGACTAAAGCACCATAAATTCTATCTGCAGTTTGATTAAATTCTTAAAAAACTTACTTTATCTATATCTGCTAATTCTCTACTGATAAAATCTTAGAAGTGACAAAATTGAGTGACTCTCAAAAGGAGCAAGGAGGCTATTTTCAGAATCCAAAATGATCTGGAGAACAAATTCAAATTAGCTGTTTTCTATGCACCCTGATATTCTTCTCTTACATAAAAGTTAACAACTATTTCTATAGATCTTTTATCTTTTAAATTTCCCTCTCTTAACTTCAGTGCTCTCTAGGTAGAGGACTAGATGTTAGTGATCATCCTTCCATATGTATTTGCATCCCATACCTGAATATGCCCTGTCCATTCTTCCATCTTCTTCCAGAAAAGAGGGTAACTCCCTCTGAAAAAGCTAACGCCTCTACACCTCTTGCTTTTGATCCTATTCCTTCTTGATATCCAGGAGATTTTGCATTGACATGTACCCCCCATCTCTCTGGCACCTTTTCCCTCCCTTGTTTCACTGCTCTCATTTATGTCTTTTTTAAAAAGCCCAACTTGGTTTGAATTTCATCCTACTAATAAGTATCATTCTTTCCATAAACTAGTGATTTACAACCACATAATCCTTAATATCACCAATGCATCCAATTTTTTTCTTGATCCTGCTATTCCTTCAGAAACTGTATTTCTTTAGTGGGGGTTAAAATGAAACAAAAAGATGATTCTAGTTTTCCCAATTCAACCATATTTTTTTTCCATCTCCCCCCCGCCACCCCTGTTCTCTTTTAACTATGAATATCCCCCAAGGATCAACCTATGGACAATAGCCAAACCTTCAGTTCTCTTTTCAGATTCCTGTGGCTGCAAATTTACTGTTCTCAAATCAAACATCTCTTCTGTGCCAGGTCTGCCAAGCTTAAGTTTGGCAATGGAACTCCTTTATATAGTTCCAGGTATTGCTTTATTAAAAAAAAATAAAAATAAAAATAAAAATAAAATATATATATATATCTATTATTCACTGACACAGGATTGTTTTGAAAACATTAAACTACATTTTAAAACTAAGTATGTGTTACTGGCATAAAGACAGACATACTTATAGATCCATCGGATAAAATAGCCCAGAAAACGGCTCAGCGCCTATAGCTCAACTGGCTAAGGCGCCAGCCACGTACACCTAAGGTGGTGGGTTCGAATCCCCAGCCCGGACCCGCCAAACAACAATGACGGCTGCAACCAAAAAATAGCCGGGCGTTGTGGCGGGCGCCTGTGGTCCCAGCTACTTGGGAGGCGGAGGCAGGAGACTCGCTTGAGCCCAGGAGTTGGAGGTTGCTGTGAGCTGTAATGCCACGGCACTCTACCCAGGGGGACAGCTTGAGGCTCTGTCTCAAAAAAAAAAAAAAAAAAAAAAAAATAGCCCAGAAAACAAAATCTCACATGAAATGATTTTTGGTAAGAACACCAAGATTATTTAATGGGTAAAGATCACTCTTTTCAAAAGTGGTGATAGGAAAACTGTATGTCCACATAGAAAAAATTTAAGTTGGACCCATACTTTATACCATATACAAAAATTAACTTAAAATGGACCAAATATCTCAATGTAAGACCTAAGATTTAATAACTCTTACAAGAAAACATTGGGGGAAGCTATATGACATTGAATTTGCCAATGATTTAAAAAAAAGGATTGATATCTGGAATACATAAAGTACTAGAACTCAAAAACAAAACAATAACCCTATTTAAAAATGAGCAAAAGACTTAAATAGAAATCTCTCTAAAAGATACAGACATGGCTAATAAGCACATGAGAAGATGCTCAACAATATTAACCATTAGGGAAATGCAACTCAAAACCACAATCAGACACTACTTCACACCCGTGAGGATGACTTATTGAAAAAAAAAACAAAAGCACTAGCTTGCAAGGATGCAGAAATTGGAACCCTTGTGCATTACTGGTAGGAATGTAAAATCATGCAGATGCTTTGGAAAAAAGTATGGAGGTTCCTAAAAAAAAAAGAGAGAGAGAGAGAGAAAGAGAGAGAGAAGAAAAAGTAACACGGAATTACCACAATTTGGCAATTCCACATTCTTGAGTATTATCACATGATCCAGCAATCCCCTTCTGAGTACATAACCAATAGAAGTGAGAGCAGAAACTCAAACATATCTGTACAAACATGTTCACAGCAACATTGTTCACAATAGTTCAAAGGTAGAAGCAAACCAAATTGCCCTTAGTGGATGAATGAATAAAGTATGGTATACACATGCAATGCAATATTACCCTTAAAAATGAACAAAATTTTGGTACACACTACAACACAGAAAACCTTGAAGACACTAAGAAAAGTAACACAGTCACAAAAGATGGTTGCCAGAGAATAAACAGGGCAGTGCCGTAGAAAGGCAAATTAATGTGTAATAGATACAAGTTTCAGCTCAGAAAGATGGAAAAGCTCTACAGATGAATAATGGGGATGGCAATACAACAGTGTAAATGTACTTAATGCCAGTAAACTACATACTTAAAAATGGTTAAAATGATAAATTTGCTATTATATACCACAATTAAAAACTTTAATTAAAAAAAAATCGATAAATTGGACTTCATCAAAAGCTTAAAATTTTGTTGTGGCAGGCTCCTATAGTCCCAGCTACTCGAAAGGCTGAGGCAAGAGAATCACCTAAGCCCAGGAGCTGGAAGTTGCTGTGAGCTGTGACGCTACAGCACTCTACCAAGGGCAACAAACCAAGACTCTGTCTCAAAAAAAAAAAGCTTGAAATTTTGCTAGTTCAAAAGACAAGAACACTCAAAGCATGTATGTACTACTATGCCACTCTTTGGCTTGGTAACTAAAATGAAAAGGTTATAAAATGAAAAGACAAGAGATAATATACAGGATACCCAAAAATGTATACAGTTTAAGAAAGGAAAACTATGTTAAAATTGTAACACTAAGTGAATACCAGTAACATTTGTTATCTTGTATATTGTTATTTTGTATCTCTTATAATTGCAGAAGTCAAATGTGACTTGAGTATTGAGTTTCTCCCTTTCTTAAAATGTGTATATAAATAAAGCACGTATGTACTATGCCCACTCTTCGGCTTGGTAACTGGTAGATGCCATACTAGAATTTTGCAGGGAAAATGAGGACAATCAGGTCCTTTATGTAGAGCCTCAACCATCCTCCAACAGATCTTAGAGGAAGGTATGCACCCAAGAACAATGAATTTCTTAATAAAAACTCTTAACTAAGAGCACCAATCTCTCTTTAAGATCTTCTGTTGCAATTTGGCCAGGGCTGGTTTTGAACCAGCTACCCTTGGTATATGGGGTTGGTGCCCTACCCACCGAATCACAGGTGCTGCTCGTATCTTTAATATCTTCTAATAAATTTTTAAGACATTTTAAAGAGGTAATGTATGTAAGAGCCCATGGTACAATTCCTGGCACATACTAGATGCTTCATAAATGCTAACCTTGAATAATAGAACCTTACTACTCAAAATGAGGCCATGAACCAGCAGCAACTGTATCACTTAGGATGCTTCTAAGAAATGCAAAATCGTGGATCTCTCCACAGACCTACCAATCAGATTCTGCATCTTAGCAAGATCCTCAGGAAATTACTACATCTTTCATATTTGAGAAGTTCTGCTGTAGAAGAGGGATCTCTAATTTTCTCTGTGAAAAGTCCAATCATAAGTATTTTAGTCTTTGCAGGCCAATAGGCAAAAAGTCATATAAATACGTAACAAGAGAGAAAAGAACTTTCTACAAACTTTTACTGGCCAAATTCAAGACATAGTAATAACTGAGTAAAATATTTTATACATCTGCTAAGGAAAAGTCTGAAATTTTTTGAGGGAATAATCCCTCACTAAATAAGGTTTCCTACTATCAAAATATGTTACAGTTATCTGTTAATGCTGATCTGTAACAAGATTTTATGTATTTATATTTGAAAATGTCTTTAACAGAAATAGATATTGCCAAATATGGCACCAACCTACAAGCATATGATTTTAATAGGGCATACTGATTACTCAGAAGGCAGTTAAATAACTATTAAATAGATTCTTCTTTTGATATTTGCCTTTCAGTATGACTTTATACTGCAGATTAGTCACTTTCACTCAAAGTAAGGTAGAAGTTTCTCAACTACATTGAAACTTCCTTTGCATATGCATCAACATCAGAAAGATGCTGCTGGAACTAGAGTTAGAGAATGAAAAATGTCTTGTAAATTCACGTGGAAATTAAGATCTAACTTCTTTGACAGCATAAGAAGTATATCAATTTAGCTTGACGTTACTTGAGATTCAAACATTGCCTGGCAATGCGGC